AAAGAAATACATAAGCATTCAAGAGGTTTATTTAAAATGTTATGTACAATTCACAACCTATAGTCGTTCTGAATTTAAGCTTCATCCTTAAAGAAATTTAAAAAAAAAAAAACAACATTAAAATACTTACACAGGATGCCCTGCATCTAGAACCTCATCTCAACAAATGGTACCAACAGGGCATTTGGAACAGATCTTATACCTTGTATTCCACTTCTCCAAAACTCCTACCAGCAAACTTGTTCAACTATCGCTGCTGTAGAATAAAAAGGAACCTTGCCTGGTCTAAAGCTGGTCCCACCTGGAATGGTGACAATTCTTGGTGTCCCTTTATAAACACGCCCTACATTCTGCCCCTTGGAGAAAACTGAACATCTGAAGATGGTGACTGCATTTAGAAACAAATGCCTGGCACATGGTAGTTGTTAAGTATATGCCTGGCAAATGTATTCATAAAGCCGTACTCTGCCTGCCTGAGGTGACCCCGTGCAGGGACATTCCCCCGTATTAAGAAATAATTCTCAAATGCTAAGGCTTCTGAGTATGGAGCGGCAATTTTTTATACTAAGCCAAACCACAATAAACAACTTTAATTTATGAACCAGGTTTAACTGTTTAGCAAACTTAATTTGATTCTTAATATACCTCAATTTTCTTACAGTGATTTAGAGTGCACGGTCCAGAAAGATGGCTTCGTAGCAAAGGAATCTTACAGTGACACAGGGTCATAGTTGTGAATTACCAACTGTAGTAAACCAGTGTATAGCAGACGGGGCTGGGGATGCAGGCAGCCCAGGGAAGCTGCTTTCCTTGCTGTATCTCTGAGAGCTTTTCATTATTGACTTGGCTTCTTTTCCCCAGAAGGTACTTTAGGTCTTGATTTAACTGAAAGTTCCAGACAGATTTGGTTAGCTTGTTGCTTTCCCCTCAGCAAAACCTCCTCAAGAACTTTAAACATAAACTATGATACAAATTCATAGTAAGAGATTTTAAAAACCTTTTAGTTGTTTGTTTTTTTGTTTTTTGGTTTTTTTTTTTCATTTTTTTCCGGTACCGGGAATCAAACTCATGACCTCCCGCCTGCCAGGCAGGCACTGTGCCACTGAGCTAAATCCCCAGCCCCTTAAAAACCTTTTAAGATGATGTGAGTCTGGCATAAGAATAGACCGAGAATATAATCCAGAAATAGACCTACACAGATAAGGTCAAATGATTTCAATAAAGGTGCCAATAAATTCAATGAGGAATGGGTAAGCTGTGTCACAAAGGGTGCTGGATAATTTCCATTAAAAACAAAAACTCCACCCTGCTCTTACACAACACATAAAAGTTAAAGGAAATCGAAATCATCACGAAACACTACTGTACATGTAACAGGAAGGCTCAAATGCAAAGACCAATACCACACCCTGGTGAAACACAGAGCGGAGAGCCTGTGATGATGGGAGGAATGCAGTGTGTAGCCACTACACTAAAGCGTGGCAGGAATTTTTCCCTTTTCTTTCCTGTTTATTTCCTGTGGTCCTTGGGATTAAACCCTGGGGCCCTCACACAGACCTACATGCCCAGCCCTTTGAAAAATTTTTTTATTTTGAGACAGGATCTCACTAACTTTCTAAGTTGCCAAGCCTTGGCCTGAACTTTCCATCCTCCTGCCCCAGCCTCCCAGTGTACTGAGATCAAAGGTGTGCACCAAAACAGCTGGCTGGCAGTTTCTCAAAAAGGTAGACAAATACACCCTACAAACCCCATCTCTATCCAAGATAATGTGTCTGTAAACAAAAAACCGTACACGAACATTTATAGCAGCTTTATTTGTAATAGCCAAAACACACATGACAATCCAAATATCCACAGAATGATGAACGGGTAAACAGTGGTACATCTAGAAAATGGAATACTACCCAGTAATAAACAGGTATCATCTACTTATAACATGCAACATGGATGAATCCCAAAAGCATATGCTTACTTGAAAAACCAGACACAAATGGATATAAGACTACATGATCCCATTTCTGTAACATTCTGGACAAAGCAGAACTCTAACAACAGAAACCAGATCAGCAGTTATGAGGGGCTGGGCCAGGGACGAGGGGATTGACTGGGCTGGTGGGAACGGTCTGTTCTTTGGCTACCATCAGGGTTACGTTACTGTGTAAATTTGCTGAAATTCAAACTGCATCCTTAAAGGGTATATTATGTAAGTTATTTTACGTCAATACATTTGACTTTAAAAATAGCTCTTTCAATCTAAAGCATGAATCAGGCACTACCAATCTCTCTCTCCTCATTCTGCCAGCTCCAAACCTCACCCCCAGTCCTGGAGCTCCAGGGCAAGTAGGGAAGGAGATGGTACTCAGTGGCAAGAGAAAATGATGGAAAGGAAAATGGAAAGTCCATAAGGAGAGCTGGCCAGTGAAGAGCTATAGAGGGGAAGTTGATATCCATTTTAATTACAAAGAATTTCTCTTTCAGAGGCCTTTTCACATGAATCCAATGTGGCACAATTTTCAGGAGCAAAAGCTGGAGATAATTCATATCCAGTACGAAGGATATGGCTACCTACATTACGGATGTCAAAAATACGTAATTCTGTGCATGGCTGGAAAAGATTTCAATGGCCCTAGGCCTGTCCGTACGACTGCAGGACACTCACGGTATCTTGTGGAATAAGCAAGTCAAGCTGCAGAAGAGCACATGCAATGATCCTGTCAGCAGACGATGAAAGCATACTCCTGCGCAGCAGGAAAGGAATGGAAAAACGTGTTGCTAGCAGCGTTCACACACACAAAAGCCTGGGGAAAAAATGAACCTACGCGGTGTGCTTGTGGTGTTTCCACTTCTTAATTTTGTACAGTTCTCTCCCCTTTTCAATAGACACCTATTATTTTTATAATAAAAACTGAGTTAAAAGTAAAGAGCAGCGTAGGAAACAGCAGTAAGAGTTGCCTTGCTTTTAGGATATGCCTGGTGAAGGGAAAACGTCAGATGTCATGCTGCCATCTACTGGAGCCAACAAGAATCTGCAGGAGGGAAGCGGATGACGTAAGCAGGAGACAGGCGGAACGTCGGGGGTTAGGTACAGCAATAAAAAAAGATAAGGCAGGAAAAGAAATATTGTGAAGCTAAATATCGAACTATTAATGAAAACTGTGAAAATGAAGCAAGCAAACACGATCAAACAGAGAAATTAACTTTATAAATCTTTTAACACACACAAGACTTGGTAGATAAAAGTAAGTCTCCATTTTTGACTTTTCAGACCTGTTCTTTTCAGGAAAAGTGTCCCTTTGGTACTTACAGAGAGAAATAAAATATTTACAGCGGGACATTTTGAAACCAATAGCATTATAACGTGTGTTCATATTTTTACCTGTAGGTGTTAGAAAATGAGCACAAATTTACTTTTGAAAAACCAAGCCAAAAATCCCAGGTCAAAACAGTTCCCTCATGTTCATTAGTACTTTTTGAGAAATAAACAAAACGTGAAATATTTAAAAGTCAAATACAGTTGAGTGGGTATATTATCAAGTAAAAAGGGGGCCAAATAACAATCAATAGTTTTTACCCTGCACAGTAACCAAAGGAGAAATTTTAAAATTGGGAAACCTCAAATCCTTTAACACTTGGGTTTCTGAAGTTTTCTTTTAGAAGTATCAAAACCAAAAAGCCTCCTAAGAAGATAATTAGTTCTTTTGTTCAAAGTTTGTTTTCAGTGCTAACGATTTGGCAACCATGCCAAACCCTAAATGAGAGGGAAAGTCCATAAATAATTTACATGTTAAGATAAAAGAAATTTTTAAACAATCCACCCTTGAGCAGAAGAAATTGGGGATCACTTTGAGTGTTAATGTAAAATACATTAGTCTTTAGCAGCGGGAGTCCCAGACCCGCCGGTGCCGCGGAGGTAACAAATAGTCTCTATCTACAAGGGGGAAATGGGCCGCTCAGCAGGAGCTTTCTTCCCTGTTGTGTTATTTATAGGGAGCTCTATTTGTTACCATGTTTCTGCTATCATGGCCAGGCAAAGCTTAATGATTTAAAGGATTTCAGAGACAATTATTTAATGATCCGATGATTTATGTGGGTTCACAAATTCCAGATAGACAGCGACTTTGCTGTTCAAGCTGCTGTCAGGAGAACAGCCATGGGAAATAGCGCCGAAGCCTAACTGGAGAACCCGAGAAGAGCGATGGTCCCAGGCCGCAGGAAAGAAACAGTTGCAGCTGCTGGAAAATGCTGTGTGAGGCGCTACTTGTTAGTTGCTTTTCAAAGTTATTCTGATGGAAAATCAGGAACTAAATCCCAAATTACCTGTGATGAATTTGGGAATCCAGTCTTTAAATTCTAAACAGCTCCACTTTTAACAAACACGTCTCTCTCCCCACTCCACAAAGCACAGAACAAACCTGAGACAGACAGTGTTTTCACAGTAGTGATTCCAGTTATCCAAAGAATTTTCTGGAACTTCAGATTAAAGCAAAACTTTCACTTGAGAGCAGTGAAGTCATGATAGCTTCTTTGACATTTCACCCAGAGAAAGACAAGCTTCGTAGTTTTCATTTTTGCTAAAGAATTTTAACCATTTTTGCCCTACTGTAAAGTAAAAAACTCATACACCACACCACTTTAAGTGTTCAAGTTTATATTACCTTCATTTTCATAAAGTTTCATGAAGTTCCACAATTTCTATCACATTATCTTCTACAAAAAGAAAAAAAAAAGCTTACTGAGATAGAACCAGTCCATTCTAAAGGATGTTTTTGACTGGAGCGTCTAAACGTCCAGGGCTAAGTATGTACTTACATAAAATAAAACTTCAGAGACATTTTGAGTTAAAAAACAATTTTGAGGCAAAATACTAATAACAGCATGTATGGGGAGAATGCATTTAAGGGAATGTTTGATTTTGGAATGATGAAGAAATCCACTTATTTCTACTTAAAATCACAGCTGACTTTATTTGAAATTTGCAAGCAGGACAGCTGGACAGAGGACGGGAGCTGGAAGGGAAGACACGGAGGCCCAGGTTACCTCCAAATGCTCTGGGCTGGGTTAGTTCCCGCCTAGGCCTGATCGCCCCAAGCTCCCCGCCTGCTCCTTGGGAAAGCCTCTCCTGGACGGAGCTGGCCCAGCGCTACTGCACGCGCTGGGGAGCGCAGAGGCGCAAAGGCTCTTCCTCCTCCTCCTCCTCCCGGGTAAAGGACAGAAAGCGGCAGCCTGGCCCTCGCTGCTTTCTTCCCCTGTGCCGGAGCCCACCACCCCTGGGTTTTGCCTGGAGCCCTCGGTTTCTTTTCTAGGGGGCGAACTTTCCAATTCCCTGCTCTCCAATGTACAGCTCGTTCTCCTTTTGGCTTTCTGGGCAGTGGAAGGAAACGGCAGTGACAGCCACACAAGCCCTTGGTCTTCCGAATCCTTTTGCAGCCTCGTGCTCCGCCGCACTTTGGTTTCACTGCCAGCTCTCTCAAAGGCTTGCTCTATGGCGTCGGACAGATCTTTGTATAGTTCGGAATGTCTGAGGCTAACTTCTGCAAGGCTTCCCACGCTGCAGGCAGGACTGCGATGCCCGTTCTGCTGCGGCCCGACACTGTGATCTTCAGAGAGGCACAGAGAGCGGCGTCCGTGTTTCCTTTTCCTACGACCTGTGACGCTCCCACCTTCTGCAGGCTGACTTTCCACATCCTCGCTGTGGCTTCCAGATTTTCTCTTTCTGGTGACGACGTCGTCTAAACAGTTAAATTCTTCTCGTGAGCCACAGATGGGACTGCACTGCAGTTCTCCCTCTGTGGCTGCTAAGAAGTCATCCTGCTCCTCCAACTTTAGGTGCACATCTTCTGCCGCATTAGGGACCTGACAAAGCTTTTCTGCACTCTGACCAGCAGCAGGGAGCTCCTGGCACTGCGGGGTAAGAGCGGGCCTCGGCTGATCTGACACGTGGTGTTCTCTGGCCAGAGAAGCACAGGCAGCATGACTGCTGGCGATCTCCACCTCAGTTCCGAGTTCACTTTCAGACTGCCACTCGTTCTCTGCCTGTGGAGTATTTGCCATGTCGTCAGTGTCCGTGTTTGTGCCTGAATCCTGAGAGGTGGCCACGAGCGGCGAAGCACCCGTCACGCTGGGGCAGCAGCATTCAGAGGCGTCAGCTCCGTCAAGGCCTTGCTGCAAACGCAGATCTGGGTTCCAGCGCCAGCGATGCTTTCTCTTAGCTGGAGCTTCAAGCAGCTCCACTTCTCCCAGTCTGCCGGTTGAGTGGAAATCATCTACGGGCACGTAAATAAGTTTAGGTGTCATTAAAAATAACCATGGAAAAAAAGCGTAAGTTTATTAAACAGAACAGGTGTTCTCTATGTAATTATGCCCTATCATATTGGGTTTTAAGCTTCAAAACGACAAGGCCGACAAGTGTTACACTGTACTTGTCCCCATCTGTCATTCTCTTGCTCGCTTAGCTCTTCCGCACCGCACAGGTTAAGAAAATAGGCATTAGACAGACGAACTGATACAGCCCACGGCCTCAGACCATGAACACAAGACCGGTGCCTTAAACTGCTTCCCGCGCCGCAGGGCCGCTAGTGTGAGGAGGCCATGTTTCCCACTTTTCCTGAAAATGGGCAACAGCGTGCTTTTCAAGCTTCTCCTTCAAGGTTTCCCTTGAAGTAAGGGGAGAAAACCTGGGCACCCTGAGGACGCAGGAGCCTTGTTTCTAAGTCACTGCGAAGCGCGCTGCACTCACAGCCCTATGGGCTACCCTGTCCTCACCATAGCCCTGCTCCTCGGCCTCTGCCTGAACTGCAGCCTCCGGCAAGTGACACCACCTGGCACGGGTTTGGGGCCTTCACAGAAGGTGAAAAAGACCGTCAGCAAGACTGGCAGGTGACATGTCCTGAATGAATTCAGACTTTAAGACTTCTAAATCTCAATAGCCTTTCACGCTATCTGTCCAATTATCTCACATAATACGCAATGTTTTTAGTTGGCTAGTCAAGTGAGTATACAAAGCTCTGTAAACCGAACCAAACTAAATGAGCCCGAAGTCTAAAAAACAGTGTTTTAATCTGAAAATATATCCACGACTAGAATATTTAAAAATCATGGCTAGAGATTAACATAGGTCAGAGGCCACTTGATGGCAACCAATGAATATGGCAGTGAGCTCTTTTATGACTTAAAAAATTGATGTTGATACATTTTTCATAAAATTCAATATATAAGCATAAAAAAAAGAATAAAAGGGTAGTGAGACAGGAAGGGAGACAGGGAGAAAGACAGTTAGGAAGTAAGACGAAGAAGAAAGAAGAAAGGGGGGCTGGGAATTTAGCTCAGCGGCAAAGCACCTGCCTGGCAAG